CTCACACACTTATCACAATATCGTATTTTACACAGATTTCACTTAGAGCTTACGTGCTAGGGGGCCTCGGTGCAATATTTACAGGCGCGTTCGAGGATCGATCTTTCTCGAAGAGGGTAAGCAGCCTATCCCTCCCTTACCCCTACCCTTTACCTCCTTTTCCTCCTCCTCCTCCTCCTCCCTAACCACCCTTTACTACCACCCTCAACGTGTTCCGATCGATCTTCATGGCTTTGCACCGAGACTAGTAACGCTAGTAAATTCTACGGACTCTTTTTACGGTGTTTGCGCTTTTCCACCTCTTTTTTTTCATAATCCCCTATCTTTTTTATCTATCTCTCTCCCTCTCATTCTTTCTTGTTCTCCTATTTATTTTTCTCGTCTTTTTCTTTTTCTGTTTCTTCTTCTTCTTCTTCTTCTTTATCTTTAATATTTTTCTTTCTTTTTACTATTTTACACATGTAGATCGGAATCCCCGTTAGAATATTCCTCGAGGAAGGCGTGACACAACAACACATATTCACACTCACACACATACATATACATACTCAAATAAGTGTAACTGGCGTGTGTTACGCGTTCACATCCGGACAATGAAAAAAAGAAATAATTTTTCCTTTACGCCGAGGAGACACGGCCGACGAGCTCGTATTTTATTTCTTTTATTCGTTTTTAGTAACGTATTGTAAAAATAATCGTTTAAAGGTTTGTAGTTTATTTTATTTTATTTGTTTTTTTTTTTTCCTTATTATTTTTGTCAATAACATCGACAGTTTAAAGAAGAAACAATTATTTATCTATCATTTTTCTTTTGGTTTTTGGAATCCTCATTTTGAGGTTATAAACTGAGAATTAAACAAGAAAGAGAGAAAGATGAATTTTGTAATATTTGTACTTGTATTTTTTCGATATACAAAATTAATTCAAATTAATTGATAATAATAAATACGTTTTTAAACGAATATTGAGGTTATGTAGTCTAAAATTGAATTTAAAATGAAATAAGACGACAATTGACGGCCATGTTAATTTGTATACATATATATATATATATATATATGTGTTTAAAGTAAAAATTGAGTAAATGAAAAGAAGAAATGGTCTTTATTTAGAAAGAGTGGTGCTTGCTTTTTTTCTCATGAGACGATGATCATTGTAGCAACCCAGACCACTACTGTATTTGGGTCAAAGCGTAGTGGGGTACACCGGACCTCCCAGTTTCCCGTGCTCGTAAGCCGCAACCGCCTTTTTTGCGGTTTCGTGTCGCCTCACTCATTGTCAGAGAGGCAGGTATTATGAGCACATTTTCTATATCTCTCTCTCTCTCTTTCTTTCTTACTTTTTCTTACTCTCTTTCACTCTTTCACTCACTCACTCAACTTACTCGAGATGCAAGATGGCTAAAGGTTGACCCCAAAATGGACGCCAAGAGAAAGATTGAATATTAATTCAATTGTTTCGGTTCTTATATACGTTGTTTCACATAAATTGTTTTTTTTTTGTTTTTTTTTGTTATACATAAAATAATAAATTAATTTATTTATTGTTTTTTTTTTTGACTTTTATGAAAAGGATTGAAACGTGTTGTTTAACATTGTGTTCTTTTTCAAATTAGTTTTTAATACTCGTTTTTATGTATTTCGTTTTTTAGGTTAATTCAAGATGGATGCCGTTAGAAAGATTGAGTTCCTAAATATCGTCGTGAGTGTATTCTTTTTTCTTATTTTTCTTTTTCTTCTTTTATTTACGATGAACAATTACTAAATAAAACTAAAATTCATATTAATTCATTTCGATTGTATTGGAATAATTTGATACGTTAAACTACGATCTTTTTAGTTCAATTTTTCGTCACTAGGGGTAAGACCCAATTTCCTAAAATGGAATATACAAATTGCCACCATGTTGACAAGAGTTCAAAAGTAATTAAATTAATTAATTGTTCAAATTATGAATAATTTATTATTTTAAAAATGAACAGAATTTTCCGCTAGACCTAATATTATTAATTATAAACAAAAAAAGAAAAAATTAATGCATATATCATATTTAATATTATTAATCAAATAAATGGAATCTAATTAACGAATCAAATTCTTCCAAGGAAATCATAAAATTGATCAAACAATTGAAAAATGTAACACTGAAGCCAGCATTTTTCCTAATTCGAAAGTTGACAAATCGTAAAATGAAAAAAAAAGAAGAGAAAAACAGACACAGAGAAAGAGGAAAGAAGAAAAGTATAATACATTTTTTTCATTCCCTTTCCATTCCTGCGAATCAAACCACTCAACGAGTTCAACGAAGATTTTGAAGTGGCGTAGTGGGCCGGGGGGTCCACCTTTAGTTTCTTTCCTTTTCGGAGTAGACTTTATTCTCTCTTTCATTCTGTTTTTTTTTCTTTTTTTTTAATGTTATTTTCCTTTTTCAACTGAAAGGAAGAAGAGAAGAGAAGAAAAGAGGAGGGGGAGAGAAGTTGCCTCATCCGAAAAGGAGGAACCCGGTGATTACACCGAGCCACCGTGATTGCCGAGATCGTTGGACTCACGAAAATGTCATTAGGATTTCATTATTTTCAAGCGCCTTGAGGTACGAACGGCTCAACGAGTTTATGCAATATTTTCTCTCTCTCTCTCTCTCTCTCTTTCTCTTTTTCTTTCTTTCTATCTTTCCTTAATTTCTTTTTTCTTTTATTTTACTTTCCATCTTTTTCTTTCTCACAGACTGAGCAAAGTAGGTCGAGCAGTAGTTGGGCAACTGTCACTAGGGATCTGCCATCTTACAATTGATAATTTTTTATTCGAAATAAAAACTGATGAGAGAGAGAAAGAGATAATAAAGATGATTTGAAATTTTCAATAAAAATAAAAATCAAGACAACAAATTAATTTGAACCAAAATTTTCTGTCCAATTTAAATGCATTTGCAAAATGAAAAATCAATTATATCCCAATATTATAAAAATAATTTTCATTGACATATTGAGAAACTAATTCATAAATCATAAATGGCAGATAATTTAAAAACATATGACGATGAATTATCTCGCGTTTTTTCAAAAGATAAATATATTCTCTTTTTCCTAGTTTTTTTTTTTTTTTTTTCTCGAAACAACAAAAAACAATTGAGATTTATTTATCATCGGTAACACTCTTCGATAAAAATGACACGCGTATCAAATAACGTCACATACATAAAAATGACTACGTAAAAAATTATACGTAAAGATGACTAACAAGAAGATAAAAAATCCCAAAAAACAAGACAAATGATAACGATCTTACTACTTTTTTGTCTCTTTCTCTCTTACGAAGACGTAAAGGTAAAAATGATGATGTTTTTCCAAGGCCACATTGATTGTATCACAACGATCAAAATTAAATTGTTCATCGGGAGGGATGGGAAGAGAAAATAATAATAATAATAATAATAATAATAATAATAATAATATCGAATATAAAAGAAATGGGAAGGAAAAAGTGTGAAAAAGAGATAAATAGATAAGATAAAAGAAAAATAAGAAGCATAAGAAGAAGAATAACTCTCAATCTTGTTCTTCAACAAAAAAGGAGAGCTTCACTTCATCTTTCTTCTTCTTCTTCTTCTTCTTCTTCTTCTTCTTTCTTCTTTTTCCGTCCGACCGAAGGATAATTATAATAATCGCCATGAGCGCATAGTGGCAACTCGGTCTCGTAGTTCCCTTTCGGTGATAGTAATACGCATTTGCCGACGCCTAATGGTATTATTATAATAATTACTAACAGTCGGAGTGGGGGTGACCAGGGGGTTGGTGGAAACTGGAATTAGACGCTTAATTAAGTTCGGGGCCTCTCGAAAGTGCGAACTCGCGAAACCCCATAGTCCTGTCTCTGCAAAAGACACAACTATAGACACTTTCTATCTTTCTTTCTTTACTTTTTCTCACGTAAACACACATACATGACATGCACACACATATACACACATACATTCATACATTCTTTTCACAATAAACGTATTCAACGATTGACGAATTATTTATGTATTTCGAATTAGTTTTTTCTTGTTTTTTTTTCCTCATGTGTGTCTTGTCACATTTGTTTTGTTTGTTTGTTTGTTTGATTGTGTTTGTTTTTCCTAGGAAAGAGAGATAGAGATAAGAATATATATATATATATATATTTTTTTTTCCGCAATTTGTATTTTACGCGTAACTTCGTCGTCGTTTCTAAGGAAAATTGTTAAATTTTTATTTTTTGCTTTACCTTCAAATTCTTTTTTTTTTTCCCCTCTCGTTCATTTCGTCGTCGAGCTTGCACTGTTCTTTTTGTTTGTATTTGCACTTACGGAATTTGTCGTCCTTTTTCCTCAAATTAGGCGTAGTAACGTCCATCGAACGAGTTACGAGTCATTTTTTTTGTTTTGTGTTGTATTTTTTGTGTTTTTTAATTATTCGAGGTCGCACATAATATTATTTCGCGTTATCACTGAAACATCCCCAGCGAAACAAAGCACCAACACGAGTCACTTTTTGATATACTTTTGAACGACGACGATAAACATTCTCGTATTCGTTTTAGGTTTCTTTCTTTTTGTTGTTGTTGCAGAAAAAACCAAAAAAAAAAAAATAAAAACAATAATTGTCAATTGAGATTTTCACCTAAAACCTACGCGCGTTACCACACCTCGCCAACTCATCAATTTTTTTTTTGTGTTTGTTTATTTGTATTTATTTTAATTATTAAAATCATTTAAATTCTTATCTTTTTTTATTTTTTCCATCTTTTTTCTTTTTTTAACCTTTTTATCATCTTATTCCTATTTTATTTTATTTTATTCTAGTTTATTTTACTTTATTTTATTTTTATTTTATTTTATTTTACTTTACTTTACTTTATTTTATTTTATTTTATTTTATTTTATTTTATTTTATTTTATTTTATTTTATTTTACTTTATTTTATTTTATTATACACGATGATCGACACGTGACATACACGATCGATCATTTTATTTTTTTTCTTTTTCCCCATAACGATCGATGATCAATCTATGTTCACCCATGGGAGTCTATTAATTTCTACCCAACAATAATTTTTTCATTAATTCCATACTCATTTGTATTCCCTTTATGTTCATTTCCATCATCTCCACAAAATCCATTCATTTTTCTTCTTCTTTGTTAAATTAATGAACGAACTCACACGATCAGAGATTTAGGATGAATTTCATCGTCCATCATTGTCTTTCGATGAAACAAACTTGAAAAATTTGAGAGAGGGGGGAGGTAGGGAGTGGTATGTGTGTGTATATGTGTCTGAAGGGTTTAACGAGGTGGTGGTAGTGGTGGGTGATTTTTACACACGCGTCATACGTTTGATTGAAAAATTGGAAAAAGAAAAATAATTCATTAAAAAAACGGACCAAAATTTTGAATCGGAAAGAAACAAATTGGAGTAGGGTGGGGGGTAACTTGGTTGGTTGATTGGTTGGTTGGTTGGTTGGTGGAGGGGGTTGAGGGGGGATATATTTAACGTTTAACGCGAGATATCTGTTCGTGATAGGCGCCACGAATAATCTGGTACTACGTCCTCTAGAACATGGCGGACAACTTCCTCCTCCTCCTCTTCATCTTCCTCTTCCTCCACCTCCTGAACTCGATTCGGGGGACGTCTTCGTTAAACCGCCGGCCACACCCTGTAACATATCACAGAGAAAAGTAGTTAATCACCGTACACGCATACACCATCATCCTTTTTTTTTCTCTTCCACTTTCTGTCTCTCTTTCTCTCTGAACGTTGATTCGTTAATAAGAAGAGTTCTATCAACGCTACGTTAAAAATAAGAATGTTCAAAAAAAAAAAAAAAAGTAACAGCAACGATAGAACTTCTCGTAACACTTTGTTAATTATCTTTTGAACTTTTTAATCTCGTTTATAATAATAATCATCATCATCATTCGTCGAATACACGAGTACTTTTACGTGATATGCAACATACTTTCATATTATATTTTATTTATCTTTTAACGAAATGTAAATATAAACAATAAAAAATAGAAACGATTGTAGAAACGATACGTTTTCGTTTGATTCGTTAATTAGGTACAGAACCGATTGTAACATAACCAAAAATTACGTTTATTTGACGATTTATTTTGAGGTTAACCCGCATTTACAGTAACGCATATTTTCATCACGTTCTTTTGTTTCAATGAGTATTATTAAAGTACGAAATAAACTTGTAAACTTAGCTTGACATATCTATTAAATATATTCAACTTAATGTGCCGAAATTTAAATAAAAAGTATAAATAATATGATTAGAATCAGATACAACTTTGTTCAATTACTTCCATCTTGTCAAGTGCAAGATGTCCTCGCAGAATACTATTGTATCATATTTAATTATTACAATTAATGAATTATAAAATAAAAAAAATGAACTCACGTGAGTAGTCCAGAAGGATTAGGATCAGGTTGATACCAAGAATACTGTGGGATGTAACCCCCGTGATGTGGAGGTGGTGGTGGTGGAGGTGGATGATGTCCAGGCGTGTGTGGATGATGGTGAGTATGTGGTGGGGCATGGGGATGAGGATGGTGTTTCATCTCACCCGGCCAAGCGGGTGCAGGGGGACTTTCATTATGCTGAGGCGACATCTCGCTACCGGGACTCGAACTTCCGGGGGTGTGACCACCACCACCACCCCCCATTCCTCCTAGGTACCCTGTCGTCGGACTACCCGAAACAGAACTTCCACCGCCTGTTAACATAACCGGCCAATCTTTGTTAAATCGTTAAGATCTATTCTATATCTCTTTCATTTCATATTACAATTATATTATCAGTTTTTAATCATACGTCTGGATTTATAATTAAATTTAAATCACTGACGTTTATGATTATTAACAAAATTAACACTAGAACTATTTTATTGCTCTGAAATTGAAGAATATCAAGATTCACCCTGGTGAATATTCGAAATATTGTAATGTATAAAAATTAATCCAAATATTTGATATGTATGTGTTGACAAATGATCATGCGAATCTTATGATGACATTATATAGTTCTAGTGTTAATAACTGCGTGATATTAGTCGATGATAGTAATTACCTCCTTGCATGAGACTTCCAGGTTGACCAGGTTGAGGTGAAGGGCCACCAGGTAGGGCAGTACCACCTGCTAACAAACTACCGTGTTGTCCACCACCCCCACCGCCACCTTGTTGTGCTGCTTTCATCATCTTCTTATATTTGCTCCTCCTGTTTTGGAACCATATTTTTACCTGTAACAAAAATATAACAAACATTATTTAGCATAAATTTTATTATAGTGTAGGTATAATTTTGTGATTATTATTGAAATTGATGGATACGGAAATATCAACCAATAAGAAAAAAGAAAAATAAGATGATGAAGAAGAAGAAGAAGAAAGGAAAAGAGGTACGTTAGTTTCGTAATCATTCGTGTCGTTCCTTCTGCCTACACACATAGAACGTAGTCCTGCAACGGATACCAATGCGCATGTGCACGAAGACTGGGATTGCACATGCGGTATTTTTTGTCTTCTCGAAGCGCGCACACATGCGCCGTATGCACGTGACGTTCTTTCAGCTCTTACGTAAGCTTTTGCATCGTATCCATTCGCGAACTACGTATCTACCGTTTATATGTATAAATATATGTATGTATATATATGTGTGTGTATCTTTGAATGTATATGTCCTCAACTTCGAGGAAGAGGAATATTCCTATTTTATAGGATAAGCCGGATCAATCTTGAAGATCATTCTTATAATTTTATGCGAATTTTGAATCCCGTAATGTATGTACGTTGTAAGCTTGCATTTTCATGCACTCAAATGGTCACTGAATTCTACTAACTTAGTTCGGTAATATTTTTTTCATTATTATACCCGAGAAGGAATTGGATATTTTATTTTTTAAATTGATATTTATTTATTTGATGCTATTGCAACAGGTATCTTGTTATTGCACAAGTATAATATGATTTTTATATAATCATAACATTTTGAGATATATTATTACAGATCAAAATTATATTTGACTACCAATTGTTATTGTAAATTTATTTTAATATAAAACAACAGTTAAGGTGCACCAATTGGTATAAATCAAATTACTAGGTTTTAACAAAATCTACAGTTTTTATAATTAAATTTGTATAATAACAAATACCTTGTTAAATAATAAATAATAATAACAATAACAAATTATTCAACCCAATTTCAGTAAACGTACAATTGTTTCACCCCTCTTCTAATAGAAACATAAAACAAAACAAAAATTCGTATAAACCCATGTAAGGGTTCGAATCAAAGAATATGCAACCTAACACGAGTGTATCACTTTAATTAACAAACTCGGGTGCGGCCTTAGGTGCGACGACGAGTTTGAAGTTGACCAACGAGTTAGAAATGCATTGGAGAAAAGGAATAGAAACCAAAACAAGAATACAAAATAGAGGGGGTTACGTGGGAGAAAGGATAGAGAGTAAAGAAAAAAAGGGTTTTAGAAAGAGAAAGACATAGGGCAAGAGAGAAAATTCTCGAAGAAGGTGCACGAGGCGTCGTCACGTCAAAACGAGTTCATTAAAACCGCAGTGCGGGCTTGGTTCTCGAGCAAAGAAGAAACGCACCGTTCCGCGCGGCATTGTTTCACGTTTTATATGACCCAACCACCGACGGCAAAACCTCGCCCCTATGAACTACGTGCACATCACGTATACACATTAATACAAACACATACACACACAACCAAGTAGATTTGTTATTGTATACGTGATCTAGGAACTGCAACTATAAATATATTCAATTTAATTCAACACGTATTCTAGACTTTAAGGTATATAGATTTATTATTGCATTTGTTTTCTAGGAACTTTAACTGTAAATATAGAAAATTTCATTTTACATGTTAACATACATAGATTTGTTATTGCATATGTGATCTAGGAGATTCAACTGTGACTGTATATACAATTTCATTTTACATATTAACATGCATGGATTTATTATTGTATATATTGTATTGGTGATATAGGAACTTCAACTGCAACTATATACAATTCCATTCTACATATTTAACCTACATAGATTTGTTATTGTATATATTGTATATGTGATTTAGGAACTTCAACTATAGCTGTATAAAAATTAATTCTAATTGTTAACATATATAGGTTTGTTATTGCATATATGATTTAAAAACTTCAACTGCAACTATATACAATTCTATTCTACATATTAACTTACATAGATTTGTTATTGTATATATTATATTTGTGATCTAGGTACTTCAACTGTAAACTGTATATACAATTTCATTTTACATATTAACCTACAAAAATCTGTTATTGTATATGTGATTTAGAAACTTCAATTAAAACTGTATACAATTTAAATCTAATTGATTCTAAATTGGCATATATAAAGTAGAAAAATAAATTTAAAACAATAATCTAAAACAAATAGAAATGAGTTAGTGAAAAAGAGAAACAGATAAAGAAAAAAGGAAAAATAAAAGGGTGGTCAAGTGAGACTAAAAAGGTTTCTCATAAAAAGAAGAACCTTTCGAGTTAGGTTTGTCTATATACCCCAGCATCGTTGGTTGTAAATATCAATAAACAAAGCTGCTAGAAAGACAGTTATTTTTCAGTAATGGTTATCCTTTTCTAACACACATTTTTCTGTCTCACTTCAGTGGACTTCCTCTCTTTCTCTCTCTCTTTCTCTTTTACTTTGGTGTTTTTGTTGTTGTTGTTGTTGTATTCTTGTTTTCGTCTCGACACGCGTAACGAAATAAAGCACGTCGAGGAAAGGGGTTCTCTAGCAGCTCGGAACCTTTGTCGGTTGTGCTTTGCACAGTAAAGTTTTTCAACGAGCAATTAGAAAGAGATTTATTTGCGAGGCATGCCTTGGTACTGCCGATAAAAGCCAACAGTGTCCAGTTAGTATTATTTTACTTTTACTTGTGTCTTCTTATTCTTATTCTTATTCTTATTTTTCTTGTAACTATCATTTCTTAGAAATACTTTTTTTTAAAACTATGAACATTCAACCAACATTCAATTATATTCTTTATAAAAATTAAAATATTTTCTAATTCATTTCAATTACATATTCAAAACTATTTTAAATTTATTATTACAGGAATTAAATCAACCATGTTTTGATATTAAACTAAACAAAAATTTGTTTTACAGTAATTGGTGAATTTATTTTTATATAGAGAAAATTGTTTATTTAAACTTTATTTAAAATAAAGGTTTAGTATATGATACGTTGAATATATTGATATTTTAATTAAATAAATGTGAAGAAGATGAAAAATAAAATAAAATTTACATGACGATGAAAAATAAAATAATCATAACAAACTTACAGAACAGTACTTTACAGTTCTTTACAAAACAGTAAGATTATTCTTATTTGAGTGGTTTTTTTATAATAATTTTTGTTAGGCTTATTTTTTCTTCAAATCTTTTCGTAGGATTTAGAAGACGTTTTTTCTTGTGGTTCGTTTTTTTTTTTTTTTAATTTTTTTTTCTCCATATACAATTAATGCAAAAATATACTTGGAGGAGTAAGCGAACGCGCGATTTAATGGACTCTCGTTAATACACCCCTTTGCACACTTCGTTACGATACTTTACTGAGCGAAGCTCTTTTTTATTACGCGTTAAGGCAACACCGGTAGCATATCTGTCTCGTAAATCCAGTATTATATTTTGACGCCTGCCACGATCGTTCTTGAACGATAATAAAAATAACGGAACGCTCGTTGTTGTTGCGTATACGATATCTCGATTTTACACGTAACCTTTCTAAGTTATTTGACTTCTTTTTTTTTATTTCTTTTTCTTTTTCTTCTTCTTCTTCTTCTTTTTGATCGTACTACTCATTCTCCTATTTTTTTTTTCTTTACTTTCTTTAATTTAAATGCATATTTTATTTTTATCCAGATCTTACTTTTCTAATAAAAAGGGGTTAAAAACAAAAGTTGTATTAAATTTATTATTCAACAACAACAACTATAATAATAAAAATATTATCATAAATTAACCTGTTTGCACTTAAAGTTTTTGTTCTATTCATATTATCAGCAACTCAAAACAATTTCAATAGAAAATTAAAAGACAAGTTTATAGGTTATGTTGTAGACTCAATTGAATTTGTTACAATTTTTTTTATTTTTATTTATTTTGTATTATGTATATTGTCTGGAATGTGGAAAGTGGAACCCTCGAGTGCAAAGGGTTAAATTAGTCAAAAGTATTGAATTAAAAAATAATTAATTGTATTAAACTTAAACACAATGTGTTTAATAGAATTAATCTAAGAAATTCAACTGCAATTTTAGCAAGAAACAATTGAATTGAACAACTAACCTGAATTTATAGAGAATAAAAAAAAAGAAATGAACTATATCAGCCTAAAAAAGAACAAAAACATTGAGCAAATTTAGACCCATTATCCCCATCATCCCCATCAGACCAATGAGATCCAAATTAATTGAATAAAAATGAATTCAAATCGAATAATTAACAATCAATTATATTTTGCTTACATTTATTAATAATTTTATGAAACAAATTTGTATTATTTCATTAATAGAAATAAAAAAAAAAACAAACAAGTATAGTAATTAGTATTTAGAAATCAATTAGATGTGGACTACATTTAGTCTACATTCTCACAATCGGTTTCTAATTTCAAGATACGAAGAGAAAGGATTCCGAAAAGGTTTGAATTCCAGAGCAAATGGAAAGGCAAATGTCGAAGAATCTGCAGTTAAGGGAAAAATAAAAAAAAAAAAAAACAGAAAAAAAAGGTCTTGGACGGGTTTACCGAAATGCATGCAAATGCGCGTGACGGAATACATACGTAAACAGGGGATGAAGAAGAAAGAAGGAAAGAAATATAAAAAAAGGAATGAAATAAGAAATAAAATGAAGAAAGGGTTAGAAAAAAAAATAATTAAGAAAAAAAACTAGGAGACCAAACGTGAACCAAGTGAACTGGTTTTTTTTTTACGTAGACGAGGTTAATTATAAATCAAATTTTAAATTAAATTTGATAGAAAGAAGCAATAATAATTAATTAAAAAAATTAATAGAAAATGTTTATTATAAATGTGTCAATAATAATTTATAATCAATGATTGTAATGAAAGTATGAAATTTTATTTTGCATTCGTAATTTAAAGTGATGAAATAATAATTAAATAGTTTATTTTGAAAATGACTTTTGAGTGTAATTTTCC